CTTAAATGGTAAAACAAAATGGCAAGGTGGTGTAAGCTACCGCCCGATCCAAAGGGCTCAGCCGTATTCATCCATCCATCCATCCCAGAGCCGTTTATGCAGGGTGTGCGGAAATAAACAAAAAAATAATAATAATGGCCGAACGTCCAGGGGGAGCATGTCACGTCCGGTCGGCTACTGTTTTTGCTTGTCTTTGAGGACCCTCAGTATGTAGCGCATAGTTAAAAAGTCTCGCCGCCGAGGACTAACTGCGGTACTTCCCGAAATTTACTTATACGGGATCCCTTCCTGTTCCCTTGGGTGAAGAGAAAGAGCACTTTATCCTTATAGAAATGACAAATCTGCCAAAGGTACCGTGGGCGCATCTTCAGGATTACCTCCTCGACTCGTCTGGTCCATTTACGTGAGAACGACTTTAAAAAATACTAATCCGTAAACGCGTTCAGCTACTTCGTGAACGGCAAGGCATCAGCGATGGGCACCCCCAGGCGCCGAAGGTACGCGCCGAAGATACACGCCGAAGATACACGCCGAGCTTCCCGCAGTGGTTGCCGAGTCGGGTCTTGGTTTTAGCAATCTTCCGACAGTTTTTGCTGCACTTCCTTCAGCGAAGAGATCTGAGGACCGTGTTGGTTTAACGATAACTGACGCTGAAAGAATAAAACGCACGTTTGGGACGGACCAATCTTTCATCTCGCAACAACATAATGATTCCAAAGGCATTCTTTATAGACCGTTCCATTAGGGCCATAGCAGAGAGGGTAAAAAGAGAAAAAAATGACCTCCCCCACTCACCCGCATCTCGTCTGCTCCGCCGAGTGGGCTGTACCTAGCATCCGGCTGGCGTACAAACTCTGTTTAAAATCGCGCCATTTTGGAAATTTCAAGCGCAGATACGCAGATTTTGGTATGCCAGTTATCGTGTAATACCATGCTAGATAAAAAAAGACTAACAGAGTCCAATTGCGCTGTTACCTGCGTGCAAATTAAAAAAAAAGGGAAAACTGTGTCAGATTGGCCGGTCTTTCCGGCGAAAAGTAAATCCGGTTGCTGTACCTTTTTTACTATACAAAGTTCGTACTGGTGTAGGCCTTTAGCGACCACGAGTGGAAGTCTGAAATAATAAATAAAAACGTGCTCTCCTGCCGCAATACACGCAGTAGTTGAGGGTAGTACTGCCGGCTGACTCAACTGCTATTTAAATAACGGAAAAAAAGATATGCTAGTTGATCATTTACCGAAATAGAACAACAGAGAGCTCTAGGCTGATTTTGGAGTAGGCAGCCACGGCAGCGGCAGCCACGAGCAAGGGTTCGATGTTCCGTACAGCCCGCCGGTACAGCCCAAAGATGGAGAATGGCAACCTTCCGGTTTGTCGTCTGCTAGTGGAGTCGGGCGCGTGCCCTCTCTCTCGTTTTGCCCGGCCGAACCCGCTGAATTTCCCGGATGTATGGAGAGGGCGCTGCTGTCGAACAAAATGGTGCCGCCCAGAGAGCGCTAAATGGACCCGTCGGTAAAAAGAAAAGGGAAAGAGAGAAAGGGATGTGGGCAGAGGGAGCGTAAAGGCCTTTTCATCTGAACTTGACCGGCGAACAGAGGGCGGTGACTCAAGCGGTGCCCCAGTTAACTTAAAACTTCTTCTTTATAACACTCTTGTACGGTCAAAATTGGAATACGCAGCCTCTATTTGGGACCCTAACCACGCCTTTCTGCATAAAGCTCTCGAATTAATTCAAAATAACGCCGTTCGTTTCATTCTGTCTAATTATAATCGAACAGCTAGCATATCATCAATGAAGTCCAGTTTGTTGTTACCCTCTTTGTCATTGCGCAGAAAGTTTTTTCGACTTTGCCTGTTTCATAAAGTGTACCATCATCAGTCGCTGCGAGACCATTTCTTTACATTGCCTAACTATTACTCTTCCCGTCTGGACCATCCGAATAAAGTTGGATTAACGCGTTGCCAAACAAACTTTTTTTTATTCATTTATCCCGCATACATCAAACGACTGGAACCACCTTCCAGCAGATATCGCAACTATACCTGATTATTTTCTTTTTCGCCAATCTTTGTCTACATTTCTGTTTGGTGAGCCAACATGAGTCATTTTATTTTGTTTATTTTGTCCGTAACAGATATTGCTTACTGCTTTTGCCAATGGAAGTGTGTTTTTGATATTTGAATTTCTTGCCGAATGTTTTTTTTTTTTTTTGTTTTGTTTTGTTTTGTCAGTTTGTTTTATTTTTGTTTGCTTTGCCCCTCCCCTCTACAATGCTTCGGCGCTTGAGGGTATGAACAATAAATAAATAAATAAATAAGGGGTCTTCAATTTGGTTGGTTTCGGTTTCAGCGGGCTCGCGGCTATGTTGGCGTGTTATATAGTTTTCGCTTAGTTTGGGGATGTAAATTTATCCCTTGTGGTACAGAACCAATAATACAGTGGTAATGAGCCACCCTGAGAACGACCTGCGTGGTTATGAGCCTAAATTGTGGACGTTTTTACGAACACCTTCGTCTGACCATGTTCGTCGTTCGGCCAAGTTCGGCAGCGAAACGAGTGAAATGATGTCGGAGGAGGATTACCGATGGCTACGGCCGTCCTGGAAGTACCGGCTGACACTAGCTTCCATAGGAATAACTAATGAAGAGACGAATGCGTGGAGGCACAGTGAAAAAGGAAGTCGACAACTTGACTAACAATGTTCTGAATCGCAGAGAACAGATGAACTCGCAAGTTCAGTGCTCACTGTTCGATTTTTGACGACACCAACGTTTTGTGAAAATTTCCGACTGGGAAATCTCCGTTTAATTACGCATATAAGAAATCAACTACTGGAGAGATGTTTCGATGGTCCATCTGTAGGCCGAGTAGGAAATTTTTGTAACTGTTGACCCTGCCAAAGCATTCATTAGCAGCATTTCACGATGTTGACCTTAGGAGACTCTGTTATACGGACGTTTCCTTACAACGTAATTAGAATATGAGATAAGGTACAAACCCGTCAAGTGAAATCTGACGTCTGTCTTCTGTATAATTTGCTAAATAAAATTGCATAGCGCAAACAAATTGACTTCCAACAAGCTTGGCAAACTTCGCATGCCAGGCACCACTTCATGAATTTGTGTAGACAGATCTTTATCTGTTTTAACAGATGCGGCGTCGACCCATGACTTTCAACTCTCGACGTCGCTTTCAGCGGCGTCGAGAGTAAATGGGGTATCGACAACGCTGCACTCGAGTGATTTCCATGCAGATGGCTTCTTTTCGGCGTCACATATGGCGTGCCTCAGGAGCTTTTCTCACGCACTCACAACCTGTCTTTGACACTTTTTTTTTTCACCCGGGGAGTTTAACTCTTTGTGCATAAAGAAATTAATTGAATTGGATATCTTAAGAAAATTTAATTACTGCAGACATGGGATGCAGCATAATGTATATAGTTTCTTTAAATGCATAAATAAACGGATGAAGCGAATGTTTATTACCGCAAAAACGATTCCCCATATAATCAAAAGTAACTATTTTGGATAAGGCAGAGCACGCTTTCAAGAAACACACATAGTAGTCCCTTGCGTTGACTGTATTTGCTTTCTTCTTTAACATCCTAAATGCGTGATCAAAAATATACCTTGCTTTCCTTATTACGCCACTATCACTTAAGCAAATTTGCGCTGTTATAAATAATTGTCCTCTCAACCCTCGTGTGTCTTAAAGTCATCTACAAACTCAATGTGCGCCAGTGCTGACGCTGATTCCTTTCCTCACACGTATCCGGTACGCCGACGGTGAAAATAGTCAAAAACTGTTATTAAATCAAGTGCAGAAGTTGTGCACATACGCGACACTTCGCAGGCAAAATATCGCGGTGAAACACGACGAAAAACACGCGTACATCGACTTCGCCACTTGATTCCAAGATGGCAGCGCCCATGCGTCGGAGGGTGAAAAGGTCTATAAGAAAAAAAGGAACGCAAGAAAGGAAGAAAGAACTCAAGAAAGAAAGAAACAAAGAAAGAAAAAAAAAGGGGGAAAAAATCAAGAAGGACAGCAAGAACTATTTACCGTAACAACTATGTTGCTAGATGGGGGTGGAGAATGAACATGCAACTAAGCCAGTTCTGGAGTCAATAATACAATTTCAGTTTTAGAAAGAAGTCGTGAAGGCGCGGAGACGCTCTTTTGGGCTGTGTTCACGGTGAATGATTCGATAGGGCCGCTCACATTAGCGAGAAAACGCGCGCGGCGGGCCGATCGCGTTGAAAACGCGTTCCGCAAAATCGGTTGAGCGGGAAGATAAAGGGCGTGTCTCTGCACGCGCTCGTGGCGCTGACTGTGCTACGGCCACTTTTTGTTACTTCCCGTGATCGGCGTGCCACGCGCGTTTTCTCGCTAGTGTGGGCGGACCTGATGATTGCTCTACCGTATGTGCACTAGTGTCCCCCATAATTCTAGTTTGATCGAAAGATGGTGACACGTGCGGCCGTGAACGACGATGGGGTGATACGATACCGAAGAAAGCCAGTGACACTTCGAAGGGCTGCTCTCTCGAAGCCAGTGGTTGACGCACCTCCCCGTCTGAACGAATAGAATACGTGTTGTTTCTGTCTAACCTCGTCCGTGTTTCTTTTTTTTGTTTTTTGTACTTTTAAGTCCTCCAGGTCATAACGAACCAACAAGCCCAATTCAAAGTTCTATTATAGAGAATACACCTTCTTCTCCTCACACGAATTGAGTTTGTTAACATGTCTAACGGTGCAACCCTTCTCGTCACCGTTGACCCGCTGACACAGCTGTTTCGAACGCATTTTGCAGGAAAACGCAACGTTAATGTTGAATCGGGAGGCGAAGGCTCCCAGGCGGTGGGCGGAGTTGTGAACGCAGGGTATGACGACCAATCTGTCCCACTTCTTCCTCTTGGTCGGTCTTGACCGATCAAGACCTAGGATGAATCTCTGCAAATGACTCTGGAATGTGTGGAATCGTTGATGTTGTTGCGAGATGGCAGATTTGCCGTCCGCACCAAATGCTTGTTTGATTCTTTCAGCGTCCAGTTCTCTTTAAAGGAGCTGTGCAACAATTTTTGTACTCTGCAGAAATACCGCTTAAAACGGATCCCTAACGTTAATGACCTATGAAACACGCGTTAGTTTTTCACCCCACGCAATAGAAGTCCCAGAAAAAAATTAAAGAAAAACGAGCAGCGTTCACCCCCTCAACTCGCAGCCAGAACAAGCGGCCACGTGATCTGGAGCCGATTATATGCCGCCAGTCTTGATCATAGCCACGCGCTGGGGTTGGCAAAGCGCAGGACACGCGCTGAGTTCCAGACATTGTTATGGCTCGGCTGTTGTCGTCGTTGCAGCGATTGGACACGGGTCACTACCCGAACGCTTCTCGAGCTAGCAATTATCACGAGCCCAAGTCGAGTACCCATGCTATGCTCGGGTCCAATCTATGAACCGCATTCAAATATCGTCACTTGGGTGTACTGCGATCCCCGAGTTACGTCATCAAATTTTGCAAGGGAGAGATTGAATGAAAATGATCGCTTTTGTCCTTGAAATTACACCGCAACAAAGGAGTTTCTTGGCCAATGGCGTTGCGTGTGAGTATCCTTGAGTCCCAGGTGTGCCAGTAAGCTCGTGTAGAGAGAAAAACATTCCAATTGAATATCGTTGCACAGCTCCTTTAAGACTTTATAAGTAGCTCAAAATCCATCAACTTAAAAAAAAAACAAAAAAACACCACCAGTTAATTGTAGCTTACATTACCAACAGATCAGCTATAGACTATATCATTCTAAAGCGTTGCACGTCGTATATGGCCGGAATTAATGTTTTCAAGCTTTTTTTTTTTTTTTTTTTGCAAATACGATTAAGGGTCGGATTAAGCTTCCCGAGCATATTGTAAATCACAACGATATTTCAATGTTTGAGGATGCTGTTAGGCTTCTTTACTGTGTTTAAAACAAAAGCATAGTGCCTCGGTGTTATTTTCTCTCGTTTCACTTTCGTTTAAGTTAAATATGCTTATATGGCGTGATTCTTTGAATGTTGTATTGTAGTTTTTTGTATTTTTTATATTGTCTTCTTTGTTATCAGTTTGAATGTGTAAACGGCACGTGCCTTCATAAAACATAAGTATAACAATATAACTTTGCACACGTTCCTTAGGGAATCACCCGATACGTTTTGGAGGTCTTTGTCCCCGGTTCGAAAAGACATTTCCAAACTTATGGTTTCGGACAGATTATTAACGGATGACTGTGCCATCGCTGAAGGTTTCAATGATTATTTTTCATCTGTTTTCACCTCAGATAACGGCATTATTCCTTGTTTAAACCTGTCACCCAACCTATCAGTGTTACCCGATGTTTTTATCTCTCCCGATGGACTGTTTTCAGCGTTGCTTAATCTTTCGACAAAAAAAGCTGCTGGTCACGACGGCATTCCAAATATGTTCCTCGTTCGCTACGCAGAATGGTGCTCAAAGTATATTTATCTAATATTTAAAAAAATCATTGTCGGAGTCCGTCATTCCTGTAGAATGGAAGATTGCCAAGATCGTTCCCGTTCACAAATCTGGATCTCATCTCTTGCCTGGGAACTTCCGGCCGATTTCTCTGCTTCCTTACTGCTCTAAACTCTTAGAGCACGTTGTTTTTAAACATTTGGCAGCGTATTTAGAAAATCACAACTTTTTTAATGTGAATCAACATGGTTTTCGTCATGGCCTTTCAACCACAACGCAATTACTTGAAACCGTCCATGATTTTGCTGAAATATTAAATCGTTCTAAACAGGTTGATGTAATTTTTCTTGCGAGCACGTTTATTCGCGGACGATGTTGTTATCTTCACTGAGGTAAATGGTGTTAGTGACCAGACATTACTTAACAGCTGCTTATCCAAGATCCACGATTGGTGTGACTCGTGGCAGATGTCACTAAATGTTAACAAATGTGTTCGCATGCATATAACCCGCAAAACTAGTTTTCTTTTTTATAATTATTCCATTAACAATACTGTCCTAGCCGAAGTGACTTCCTATAAATACCTCGGTGTAATCATTTCAAACGACCTGCGTTGGAACACCCATATCAAATATATTGTTCGCAAGGCATTAACTAAACTCCGGCGAAATTTAAAGCAAACCTCATCGGATGTAAAATTAACAGCCTATAAAACGTTTGTTCTGCCTATATTAGAGTATGCGTCCGTTGTCTGGGACCCGTTTACTAAAACGAACATAAATTTACTTGAATCCATACAGAGAAAAGGCTTGCGTTTCATATACAACAAATTTCAGAGACAATACCCGGTTTCCGAACTATATGTGTGTTCCAGCATTAGCCCACTAACCCATAGACGCATGTTTCAAAGATTAAAATTCTTGCTCGACCTACTAAACAACCGATTTAATATTGACACCTCTACATATATTTCACCTGCTCTTCATAATTACCCCACGCGAAATTTTAATTGTAGATCATTACAAGAATACAGCTGTAGGGTCGATGTATTTAAGTTCTCATTTTTTCCAAGGAACATTCATGATTGGAATGCCCTACCCAGTCATATAATAAATGCTTCATCTGAGTCATCACTCATTGCTAACCTTCGCAGTTTCTGTAACTCCTGCGATTGACGGTATTTCTTGTAGGTTGTTTTGTTGTTGTTGTTGTTTTTGTTTTGCTTTAATTTTTTATTCAATACTGTATAATGATGACATTGATTGCCTTATTCGCGTGTGCTAAAATGACTAGAAATGTATGCCTTTATACAACATAATGCACCCCCTCCTACCACATCTCCCGAAGGAGATAGTAGTATCAATAAATAATAATAATAATTAGTGTTGATTATTGTGGTCAGTATATTGTTATTGTTGAAGTGATTGTCCCTTTTTTTTTTCTTCACGTGCATTTAGTTTACTTTTTCTTTTCATGTGTGCTTTGGGCGCGTCTTATATCCAATTTTGTAAATATGTATGAACTGTATCGTTTTTCTTATATGTTGTTCCTCCCTGCCACGGCGCACGGGCCAGCAGTATGTATAAATATGTAAATAGAAGGTCCCTTAATTTCTCTTCCTTGTGTCTTCGTTGTTTGCGCGCTGATTCCATTTTGTAACGATGAACCAACTCGCCTGCATTGCCACTTTGGTCCCTTAACGTCGCCACAGTTTTTTTTTTTTTTTTTTTTTTTTCTTTTTTGGAGGTGGTAGTCAACATGTACCTCGACGTCACGCTATGGTTAGTTATTCGGCTGTGTGCGAATGTGGACAATTCAACGCGGCCCAATTCTTTTTTTTTTTTTTTTTTTTTTTCTGATAGCGAAGCATGCACATGTTCTCAAATGTGATCTTTGCACATGGCACGTGCTTCCCGCGAACAGGAAACGGATATATCTACTCAGATGTGAGGTCGCTAGCCCCGTTTCGCCTCCGTGCCAGCGCAAGGGAGAGCCCCTGCAGAAAAGGTCCGGGACCCCGCGGCCCGGCCTCGCGCGCAACCCCGGGCCGGGCGCCGCCGATCAGAGAAGGGGGCGAGCCGCAGAGCGAGCGCCTCGGGAAAAGATCATCTCCGTGGCCTCCGGCGGCATCCGGTTTGACGGGTCTCCCTCTCCACAACCCAGATTCCCCTCCCGCCTCATGGTCGAGCGAGCCGTCGGACATAGTCTGCGCTCGAGACCGCCGTCGCCGCCGAAGCACACAGTCAACGCAGCTCGCCGTCAGCCACGCGCTCCGAAGCACCGCCGTGGACCGCCTGCGCGCGCGAGTCAGCCGTCACTTGCACTCCGCAGCCGTCCGCGGGCCATGGAAGACGCCCGGGCGTGAAGCGACGACGACCGCCGAGCCGTGGCCCAGCCAAGCCGCCAAGCTGACGCGTAACAAGAGGACCGCCGGTGAGTTCGCGCGCCGCGTCAAACCTCGAGCCGACACGAAGCCGGACGCGTCGTGCGAGGCCCGCTTCGTCTCGGCTCGGGGGCACTCTGGGGACCATCGTCTCTGCCGGTTCGCACGTTGTCGCGGGCGTCGCGCGCTCAAAAGTGTTTGGAGGCGTCGCAGGCAGCCGTGCCCGAGTGTGCGGGACGGGTTGTGGCCCTACCTCCCCTCGGAATGCGTTTCGCCGACTGGACCCTCGGGCCGTACTTGTGGATCGGCTTCCCCGTCGGCCGCCTCCGTGACCCGCATTTCGGTGCCCGCCTTCGGCCGACGCGGGAGACGACGTTTGGTTCGTTCCTGTCCTACGACAAGCACAAACCATACCGCGACTCCTGTTCAACTTCCACCTGCGATCTCACGAAAACCCCGAAATTAAGGTCAAGAACGAACTAAAAAAAAAAAAAGAACGATCACAAACGTTTGTATTTGGGGCGTGTACAGAGAGGACGTGCTGGACGGCATGCTTGCTTTCCGCAACACCGGCACACCCGCCCAAAGTGCCTCGGGATTTTCACAGGATGAAATATCAAGCTTGCTGTTTAGTCTTCATCCACATACCCTCGAGCTGAACGCGACAGAAGAAGCTACGTCTCGTGACTGCTCTGCATTTACAGTCGGTACTTTTGCCAAAGTCCATCACGGAACCACGCAGTGATCTCCCTACGTTTTTCTGAAAGCACCCCCTTAATTCGCAACGACTTCTCTATTCTCAATGCACCCCCCCCCCCCCCCCCCCCCCAAAGAAAAAAGAAAGAAAAAAAAAAAGTTTAGGCACTTTGTTAATTTCAATTCCTGGGGAAACCCCTGGAACCAGGGGCCCACGGAGAGCAGGCGCCCATCGGTCTGCTGCCGATGGACCTCATTCACTTCCGGGATTCCCGGCCGAATGGCCACGCTGCGACTGCCGTCAGCTTCGTGTGTACTCCGCGTGCACCACTTTGTGCTCACACGCTATTCGCTCGGGTGGCCGCGCGCTTTGAGGCTTTGCGCTCGTTTCCAGACCACTCTGCCGTGTCCAGCCTTTTTCAAAAGTCCGCGCCAACGCCTGTCCGCCATTGCTTGCTCACGTACTCGGAGCATGGATTGGACACCGGGGCTGCTTGAGCCACGGGCGAGGACTCGGCTCGAATTGAAAAACGAGCGCGGCGGCGTGACACTCGGATTCAATCACGCGCTTCACGTCCAAGCAATGACGACCGCCAGTGTTCCTTGATGGACTTTCAGCAGGACAACGCGCTCCGGTTCCACGTACTACTCGCGAGTGGCACGCCTGAAAGCGTGAGGCCGGCGCTCGGGGTGTGCACGAACGTTGACTACCACCCAAGCCCCACAAACCGGCGATTTCTGAAAGCGATTCTGAGCTATAAGGGCTCTCGCAGGACGACTGCCTCGTCCATTCTCGAGTCGACGCGGGGCACCCGTCCCTCAGCTGACCAGGCTGACTGTCGAACGTGTTTCGCGCCGTTTTTTCGCGATGGCGCACCATCTCGGCGCGTGGCGAATTGGCACACTTTCGAATTTGGCGCGCTCGTCGGGGCTTTGGTCGTCGTCGGCGTACACATGATTCGTTTCTCCGATGATTGCTGGGCTGTCCGGCAAAAACGGTTCGGGTGCCTTCTTGTTGCTATTGGCACCTTTTTTTCCTTGGCTGGGAGGCTATTCCCGAACTCGATCGCGACTCTTGCAGGCCGTTTCGAGATGAACGCACGGTGTGTTTTCGCGTGCCTCTAGATTTCGTAGTATTGGATAACATCTGTCCCGCTTTTTTGGTCGGCTCCGACTAAGGAAGGTAGGTTACTTCGATGCTAGATTATGAATTATATTTCTTTATTTATTTATTTTAAAGATACTGCCGACCAACTTTTGAGGGCCAGGGCATGGAGTAAACATACAGCAAAATGCGTAAGCAACTTAGTCCGCACAGTTCATTCAAACAAAGAAAGGTTCATCAATAGCACTAGAGAATCAAGGGAAGGAGACAATGTCCATCACGCTGCGGGGCAACTCGCTCCACTCACAAACAGTACGTGGAAAAAAAGAAATAATACTTTAAAACATCTTTCGTGCAACGAAACTCACGAATTATAGTTTCTCATGCTTCTATCTGGTATCACGGCTCAGGTATATACAAAACGTTTGTTGACCGTCCTCACTGCTCGACTGGTGTTAGATATTGGAAAAACCGTCACAATCGTATGCTAAAAAGAATAAAAAAAAAATTGTTAACGAACTTTTAATATGCGGTTTAATGTTCAGATCGCAGTTTCGAAACTTTCACTATTACAGACTAGAGTAAGTGATACGATTTGGGGAAAGGCAACGTGCCTTGAGCTATTCATCAATCAAGTTTCGTGTTTTTTTTTTGTTTTTTTTTGTCGGCTGACTTTGAAACGGAACGCAGGAGTAGTGTCGCAAGTCCCGCCCACGACGAGGTGTGAAAGAAGGAAGTACTCGTATTTAAAAGCCTGTCGCCAGCGTGCCGTCGGTGCTTCCACCAAGGACACGCGGCAGGAGGAACGACGACGAGATGCCCGTCACGACTACGTCATTTCGTGCCCTCGTAGTCATTTTCTCCTCATAGGACACAACGATTGATTGATAACTGGCCCGAGCGATCTGTCTTTATATCAACCCTCCGACGCCACGCTACCGCGGTGGCGCTGCCATCGGCGTTGCGCGTGCGCAGACGCGAATCTGGTTTCTGCGCACTCGCAGTTCTTTTTCACAAGGGCGCCGCCATCTTAAATTGCCGTTACTTCCAGTATAGGCGAAAACATTGTTTTGCCGTCTCCACGCCAATGTAAGACATCTAGGACATAAGCGTAACAGTCGCACATTCTCGTTTTGCCTCCCCTCTATTTTTTTTTTTTTTTTATTTTTATTTGCAGGATGAAATGTTTCATTATTTTTTCCTCGCCCATACCGGATATGCCTACCAGGGTGGCCGGGGACGAGAGTAAACGAAAAAATCGGCCGCCACATCACATGGCTTCCGTTGGCCTTTCGCAGTTGTAAGAAAAAGGGCCGGATTTTCCCATTCGCGCATCGACTGTTTTCGTTAGCTCCGTTGACATTCAGACCGCCTCACAAAGGAAACAATTTACAAACAATAATAATAATTAAAAAAATAAAATCAACTGGCTTAGGATTGAGTTCCTCCACCGAAACTTGAAACTGAATACAGATTGCACAAAATAATTTGTTGTATTATTATTTTTTTTTTTTTTTTGCGTATGCTCACGATTTTTGCCAATCGCTCTCCAAAAGCCGCAAAGTAACGGCGGTAGAAATAGCTTGTACCCTGTCCGTAGTCGATGAGCTCCGCTCAGAGCCTTTATATCTGGCTCCGCTCCTAACGTCGCGTCGCTTTTTGCGCCTGGCCCGCATTCGCCGCGAGCGCAGTCCCATTCTGGACGGCGAGGAAATCTCGCGCTGTCTGGAGGAAAAAGGAAGGCGGGCGACGCGAGCAGGAAAACCCCCGCGCCACGGGAAGTCTCGCTGCCTCCGGAGAACCGCTTTTTTTGTGCCACTCCGAGCGCGCCTTCCTGCCTGGCGGTAGTCGGACCGGCGAGGTTTCTTCTCCGAAGAACAAAAATCTGCCAGCGATCGGGATCTGCCCAAGTCCTGTAAAGAGGCCGTGCAGCGATATTGGGTTGGAATGTTTCTCACTTTACACAAGCTTACGCTGGCGGCACAATCCACGTACACTCGCACGCAACGCGCAAGGAACA